TCAAGACGCAGTTGCAATTTAATACGAACGACTTTATTATTCGTATGTCCTGGAAAGTCCAGGAATGCAAAGATAAGTATTTTTATTCTTGAAAGCGCTTGAAAAAATAAGGTTGAAATTCAAGGAAAGAATTGAAACATTTTGAGAAATGAAGACACATTTGCAATTTAATACGATTCTGTTGTTCATATACATTCTGAAATCTAACAAGGCGAAGTATTTGTATTCTTGGAAGCATTCTCTCACAACGAAACGAACAACTCTATATACTGGTACGTTGGTTATTATTATTATTCGGAATGTTACATCGTGTTATGCGAAATCCTTCGCAAAAGCAAAGCAAAAAACTCGACTACGTCGGAACTAGTTTTTCAGCTGAGATTTCAAAGGAGAATATTTTTTTCTTTGCAATCTCATCCCCTCGAAGGAAACTGTTTTTCATTTCAATTGATATGATAGTAACGCAACGAATTCTCGGTTACACTTATGATTATATCTACTGTTGAATGCAAGGAGGACAAAATGATGTTTAAAAGTTAAATATATTTGACTGTTTGTGATATATTAAAAAATTTCATATTTTTTTCTCATCGAAAATCGAACAATGATTTATTATAATATTATACATATATAGTTCGATGTCTTGATATTTAAAATGAAATCTAGATGGACCCTTGGCATATGAAATTTTTTCCTTTCAAAGTTCCAATGTTGAAAATTAACAAAATTGACAAAAAAATGATCAAAACTGATACTTTATAAATTAAGAAGGATTCTTGATGGATTAATACTGTTGCATCCAACAGTACATATTTTTAAGAAATTTTTAAGAAACTTTTAAAAAAACACTGCTGCATACTTTTTGATGAAAATCAATCGCCAAGGAAAACATGGTCATCCATCTTGCATATGTATATATACACGTGCAAGTCGCTGGATTCCCGTCGAACTGCATTCCACGGGGATTGCGAGCGTGGTGATCGTTTTGTGCTCGAAGGACGAGCTTTCGGTCAGGTATGAAACGTCACACCGACTTCTTAAAGTCGATGTTCCTCCGAGGTGTAACCCTCGGTGTCGATCTAACGAAATGAAGTCATTCATGAATTTGCCCGAGCGAAAAGCTGGCCGTGAACTGGTCAATTAACCGTGAAATCGTGTACCCGGTTAGAACACGATCATAAATATTTCATGATCAATCGGGTCCTCGGCTGTGATCTGCAGATTTGCAGAAGCTTCCGATGAAACTGAAATGGTTTACACGTGCATGTTTCGTATCGGTTGGACAGCATTTAAGCGATCGTTCTTCTGAATAGTAAGAAAAAATGAATTTTATGATGGTTGAGAATAGCTTGCATATTCAGTCTTAACTGATCATATATTGAATCCCCGAAAAATATAAAATATCCAAGTATGACTATATATATTTAATACTATTTAATATTAAAGCATTAAAGTGTTATTTAAATATTTAATCTATTTGATTTTAAAAAATGTATTTGAGAGAAGTTCTTCCTAGTATGATGCTATCTCTCTTATTCATCAAAAAATTTTCTCGAAAAGTGTATAGAATACACAATTTGGTTTGTTACCATTTAATTCTTTCGATTCCAGTGGATTACATACATCTCAGATAGAATTCTGTTCTTCAGTTATAGTTTCAATTCTATTTCACTAGAATGGAGTCTTGGATAGTTTTAGATTACTTTAATATTGAATCGCTGGGAGAGTTATTAACACACTGTCACGTGAAATTTATATACTTTGTCTATTTAATTTTCGTAAGATATTATCTGTGTTTTTTAATTTTATTTTATGATCTTATCTGATTATTTATGTCGAGGGTGTTCATCTTGTTTCAATCGTTCTGAAATATTTATAGGAACAAGAAGAACGTCGATCGCCAGTTTTTGAAAATGAAACATTTAATTCCTTTACGTGTGCTTTATTCAGACATGCTAGATTTTCAGATGAAAAGGAATTAAATATGCAACGCGTTCGAGTGGAGCGTTATGTTTCAACAGTTTCGAACTCTTGCTGCGCGCGATATTGTGTATGGCGTACCACGCAAGGTATTGACATTTCGTGCTTTGCCGTGGAACCGGCTAAATATAGTTGCTCTATGGAATAATCGTTAACCACTTGCTCTGCTCGATCGGCCGTTTCTCTCTCTCTCCCCCTCTCTCCCTCTCCCTCTCTTACACACACACATACACACACACACACACACACTTTTTTCCCCTTTATTATTTAAGTGATTTAATATCAGTCATTTTCTGCCAATCCAAAAATAGCCAAACGTTTCCCAACATTGTCCATGATCTCACGTACATACAAAGTTTTGTGAAACATTTTTAAACATTTGCAGTAAAATTGTCGAAACACCAGTCGATCTGACTATATTCAATAAATAGTACATTTGAATAATCTTATTATCTTGATCTCCATGTGACTTTAAGATATTTATGCCCGTTCCTTACTTTTATATCAAACTTGAAATCACGTTGCAATTGAAAATCATGCATTATTTGCGACGATGAATAGTTGTCCACCAAATCAATGGATGATAATCAATCGATCATTTTCTTCCCCTTTCTTTGCGAGACGTTGGCAAAAGTTGATCGAAATAAAAATATCAAAAGTACCTTCGCGAATATCTTGAAAATTGAATGTGCCCAGAGAAACATTATCAAAACCGATGGATCCTCGTTCATATGATTTACCAAATTTCTTCTTTTCGTTTTTTCCCCTTCTGTATATATAATTATCCGCAGCAGTGTACGTGTTTCACTCGATGCGAGGCGATCGTCGAACGATCACTCGTTTCTAAATTCCCCATTAAATTTACCATCCCCTGACTGACGCTCGCGGTGTGTATAGAGCAGTCCCTCCGGTTTATCCGGCGTGTGCATTGCGACGTGACCTTAATGGAGCCCTGGAAACGCAGCTGCACCGGCCGACCACTAATTTGAGGTCTTTGTTAACGCAAGCGAGAAGCTCCGTGCGTCGAGTGGGGCTCCTTTGAAACGGAATGAAAATCGACCTTTCAGGGATGAAATCCTCCCTCTGGCCGGGGCTGTGTACGGCTAAAGAGACGAAACGTAAAACGACTCGTTTTAGAGAGAGAGAAAGAGAGAGAGAGAGAGAGAGAGAGA